CAAATGTTTTTTTGGTTTTTTTTTTTTTTTTTTTTTGTTTGTTTTGTTTTGTTTTTTTTTTTAATCCAAGAGAAAAATGTATTTTTTTGAGTGGTAAGGAGTTTCTCACAGCTTTCTGATTATTTTGTGAAAATATACTGTCTGGCATGCCAGGCCAGACACTGATAATCGTTAACAACATAGCTGACTCATTTTGGTTGTATAGAACCATCATAACTACTAAGTATCAAAACACTAGCTAACAAGTTGAGCAGAGCCTTTCCTGCCGTACTGACATGTACAGCTTGTTTGTACTCAGAAAGAAAAGCACACAATGGTAAGCTGCCAGTACACTGTAGCTGATTATTTAAAAAAACCCACATGGCTATGTTCATACGGGAGACTGGCACCCCTTGTGAGTATGCACTTTTTATATAGCTGTCTCAAATTAACATAAAACTGAAGGTTACCAAAATACAGAGTGTTAATCTCATAAGTCTCTCTGGCTATTGCTTCTTGTAAGATACAGATGCATGGGTATGGAGTTGCCAATGTGCGTGGGTGTTATATTGACAATTTCAAGGTTTGTAAAAGCACTGGAGTCTTTCCTGTGTGCATATCTGATTCCCATAAATACTAACAAGAGTTACAGGCCGTGTTGTTTGTGGAGTGTAGTCTCTCGAGTTCAAATTTTGTAATGTTTTAGACTTTTTGCCATCCTTTATTTTTAAACTGTTATCTGAGGTTTTCATCTGATGTCATAGTACAAATAAAAAAAAGGAGCAAACTAAGGACAGAGCAGCTCCAGAAAACCACACAAATACACAGGATAAAACACTATTGGAAAGCAACACTTTGCTTCAAACACTCAGGCCTTACTACTTCCTTGCTAATATTTCCCTTTCTGAATCGCTTTTTTATGTACTTACCCAGCCCCCATCTGAGCTACATTTTTCCTGCTCTGTAGAAGAATTAATTTGATTTGACTTCCATTTATTTAAGTCCATGTTGACACCCATTTATTTATTTCAGTGTGCATGCATGGGCTTATCAGAGTTAGCGCAAAAGATGTGAGGCCTGTTGGCCTGTTGTTAAGAAATACTGTGGTATTGATTATTATTTTCCATTAGGTTGCCTGTCTAATTTCAGTTTGTAAATCCCTAACGATGGAACCTTTTCTGTGAATAGCTATTCCGAATATCACCTTGATTCAGGACATGGGAACGTAATAAATACACTGCTGGATCAGGCCAGTGGTTCTCCCAGTATGCTTCTTCAGCGCTGTCAGCAAGGGGTGCTGTACAGGGAGAGCATGTGAGCCTGACCACTTCTTGTCCTCTCCAGTCACCTGCTGTCATAGGACTGGGAGTGCTAGAGGCAGCATCTCTACCTGTTGTCTTTAGTGTTTGTTTTGGGGCTTGCCCATAATTTGTCTAATCTGTTTATGAACCTGTTGATACCATTTGGCACCACAGGGTTTATGACAGCAGGGTTACAACCTGCTGTGTTAAAAATAGATCACTAATCAATCCACTGTAATTATCGCCACCTCTAAGGAAGTAACACAGTACCACCTTAGACACAAACCAGAAGTCTGTTCTACCTTGGGCTTTAACAACCCAGTACAAAATGGTCATTCTTGTTCCAAGGAGCCTACTATGTATTTTAAGCATCTTTGAGCAAAACTTCAAAGTTATGGAAATATTTGGACCAGAAAGTGCTGACTGCCTATTTCAATACCTTTAGTAATGTTGATCACCAAACCTGAACTTAGTCTAGGGGTGTCTACATTAGCCTTAAGTACATACCTTTTTTGTCTTTGTGTTTTGTTGTGTTTGTTTTTTTTTTTTTTTTTTTTTTTTTTAGTAGGCAATCCTGACCTCTACTGAGCTGGTAGAAAGGAAGGAGGCCTGGAGGGGATGCAGAGACCTAAAGATACTCTTAAAATTAATAACTAATACTTGACTCACTCTCCCCACGTTCCCTGGAGATGTGGGAACAGGTGCTGGCCAGTAGGTATTTTCCTTTTAGAGCAGTTCCAGCTGCAGGGAATTTTGCAGCGTGGTCCTCCTTTCATGAAGCAGCTAAGTGTATTTTGCAGCATGTCTTCCTGCCAGGCTGCTCATGCTGCTTCATAGACTAATTCTAGACTTGATGCTTTTAGTATCACATGGAGGTTTTGGTGTAATTTTTCTAGCTGATATATAGCCTTATCATGGGGAAGTCTCTGTCTGGATGAGCCTGCTGCCTAAGACAGGACAACAGTTTCTGGATGAACTGGGGTCATTTTGGTACAGTCTGAAGCGCTTGCTCATTTTCCTTTTGCCGAGGCTCAGCATTTTCCTTTCAAATCTTAAGAAAAACCCCACTGGTGTCAGAATGCAGACAAATGTGAGATTAGACTTCACCTCCAAAGGAGTGCAACACGCTGCTGAATGCCATGGCAGCTTTAGCCAAGACCCGCCTGTTGACACAGTCAAAGTCATGGTCTCTTTACATTTGGCGATCGCCCTCAGCGCTATTGTTCCAGCCACCAAAGGACAAGCTTGCTTTGACATTTCCAACCACCCGAGTCGTGGTGCCATGCAGCCCTGTTCTCGCCGCACCAAGGACATTGCCATCCCGACTGCAGTCACCCCAACCTTTTTCTTTCGCGTTTCCTTCAACGGCAAGTTTTTGGTGAGGCTCGTGGGACTCCGTGGGCCCCCTCTAGTGCGTAGCTGCTGCAAACGCCGGGCTCGTCTCTGGGAAAAGGCAGTGCTTTGACTTAGATCTTGCTGAGTGGGGGCAAGTTCTGTGCCTGCTAACGTGGGCGTTGGAGACTGAGATCTCATTATTTGATCCTGTGGTTTTGTTCCTTTAAAAGGCGAATCAAATGTTTAACAAAGATTTTTAAAGATAAAATACATGACACCAAGTAAATCCATGGACAATAGATGGCTTAATTCTAACAGGGAGCATTTGTACGTCTAGAAGTTTTGTAGCCGTGGGCAAGTACATTTGTATTAGTGTTCTCATGTGCAAATGAATTATTATATTTTGTAAGAAAAAGGTTTCATGATTTTAGCACAGCAGATGCCTTTGATCAGCATGAATAGAATTAATTGTATGATAATTGGAATTTAATTTGATTTAAAATATGTTTCTTTAAAATTTTGTGTTGACTTTTGAAATGACAATCATCAAGAGGAGTGCCCAAAATTCTCATCGGAGATTAAATAAGGGGAGAGTGATTGCTTGAGGAACTGGTCTTCTGAAATGCTGAGATGCCTGAGTGAACTTCTCTTGTCTGAGGGGGCAATAAGCATTTCACAGAGGCTGTTACTGTGCAGAAATAAAACACAAAATAAGAAGGCACATTTTGCTGAAGGTAGAGAAAATGTTAGATAATAAGGTGACATTTTAACTTCTTAGACACATGACTGAGCAAAACACTGATCATAATTTTACAACGGGAATTAAATCTAAGAGTTTGTATTTCTTTAGCTATTTTACCTATGTGGAATGTGCAAAAGTTGTTAGCAGATAAACTTCAAAGAAACTGTGCTTAGGACGTTGAAGCTCCGAAATGTTATCAGACCCAGCCAGGGAGATTACATTATGGCATTAGTGCTGGAAAAAACTCGTGTTTGAAATGCATATTGCATCTCAGTAGATAGTGCCCTCCCTCCCTCCCTCCCTCCCTCCCTCCCTCCCTCCCTCCCTCCCTCCCTCCCTCCCTCCCTCCCTCCCTCCCTCCCTCCCTCCCTCCCTCCCTCCCTCCCTCCCTCCCTCCCTCCCTCCCTCCCTCCCTCCCTCCCTCCCTTCTTTCCTTCCTTCCTTCCTTCCTTCCTTCCTTCCTTCCTTCCTTCCTTCCTTCCTTCCTTCCTTCCTTCCTTCCTTCCTTCCTTCCTTCCTTCCTTCCTTCCTTCCTTCCTTCCTTCCTTCCTTCCTTCCTTCCTTCCTTCCTTCCTTCCTTCCTTCCTTCCTTCCTTCCTTCCTTCCTTCCTTCCTTCCTTCCTTCCTTCCTTCCTTCCTGCCTTCCTGCCTTCCTGCCTTCCTGCCTTCCTGCCTTCCTGCCTTCTTTCCTGCCTCCCTCCCTCCCTCCCTCCCTTCCGTCCTTCCGTCCCTCCCTTTCCCTCTCTCTCCTTTCTCTCTTTCCAACTGTCAGCCTGTTTTCCAGCACTTTTCTCTTTTCCCCCCATCCCCCTTCCCACCCTCTTCCTCTCCTTCCCTCCCTTCCTTTCTCCCTTTCCAGCTGCCTGCTAGTCTGTCTTCCAGCACTTCTCTCAAACACCACTTCCCCAGTCGTGCTGTGACACCTCACCAGAACAGACTTCGTGTTTACCATCCGGCAACTGCTGCCTGACATGTATTCAAGCATTAACTCCTACAGGCCCTGCTACCTTGTGGAAGAAGGCAGCTGAGGGCTCATATTTTACTCTTTAGCATCCCTTTCACTGCTGTCCCTAAGGTGGTCCTCCAGCCGTTTTCCTCGGCTTAGCCTTCTCTGTTTAACCTTTCCTGAAATCACTTCGCCTAATCTTACTACTGACATTTGAGTGACTCATCTAAGGAGGTGATATGTGAGACAAGTGACATTAAGACAGTACAGTCAGGCAGTCAAACGTGTGTTTGGACAGCCTGTGTCCATAATCATAGTCCTGCCTTGGAAGAGAGCTGGCTGGCTGAGAGGCAATTTTGGCGGGTTTCATTAGCTGGCATTATTTCATTATTCAAAGTGAGAGAGTTGGTAAATCATTAGCATCATTAGCATAGTTATTCACACCTTTGTTGTAGATATTTGGTAAGTGACTGCACATCACTTTCTCTGCAGCTGACCTTTTTTTTTCCGTGGGATTCCTGACGTTTATAATAAGAATCCACTTATATATACATGCACAGCCACAGGCATGCACATATGTATGTTCACACATGCGTACACACAGATGCTGAGGTTTTGTTAATTAACATTAACTGCTGGTGTTTTTTTATTCCAAAACGTATTTCTCTATTGGTCTATTTGCACTGCTTTGTTTTAGCTTCATCTAATGCACTGGAACTCCACACTGTACAGCAGCATTGATGAGGCAGTAGGGAAGAAGCACGGCATAGCTATTATTGCTTTGTTTGTGCAGGTAAGTTTCCTGTGTTGCACTTGTTACCATGCTCTATCATTTGTCTGAGGGAAATGAGTTCCTTTCCATTTTCTTTAATTTTGAATGATTTCATGAAATGAAACAACGTATGACTGCTGGTATTCTGTTCAAAAGATAGTTCTCAGTCATGTCTTCTGTGTAAGTGCTAAGTAATCAATTCTTTTTCAAACAGGATATTGGAAGTATGTTAGTTAAAGAAGGGGTAATACATAGTCGGCCATCTCTCTGTGACTCTGGCTATAAGCAGACATCCAGTCTCCATTCCTCTGAGGGCAGAATGAGGGCTGTCAGGAGGTACAAGTGCTTCACTGTCTCTGTAATGTGTTTTTCTCCATTCCTGGCCAGGCCTGTTCTGGGGGGTTGAGGGAATCCACAGAGAGGAGGAAAGAGCCTACTAATCCATTGGCCCAGCTGAAAACTGGTGGTAGGATCGTGCTTTTCTGAACACAGGGGCAAGTGTGTTTCTTCACACAGGACAAATGTGAGGTGGGGTCGCATTACTTCTTCAGAGATGCCAGACTGAGAGTGGAACTAGTCTTGCCACAGACTCTCAGAAAAGCCTGCGACAAGGAGGCTTAAAGCTTCCTAGGGAGAAGGTGTAATGAAAGCGAGGAAGTTAGTCCCATAAGAGAATTGCTGTTGAAGGTTTTTCAAGGGCTGTACCCTATAAAGAAGATTTTCAGTTTAAGTCCGCTAACACCAGATTCTCATCCTCCTCATGAGAAATGGCAAACTGTTTTATTTAAATGGGTTTGGAAGAAGAGGTTTAGAGTTCGTGCTTAGATCAAATGGATTTTCTTTCACAGTGATATTATTAATTTGTCATATTTCATAATGAGTTTATGGGTGCCTTTGAGCTCTACCTCTCTTTGAATTTAAAGGTCCATTGGTTACAGCTCCAACACTCAGATAGAACTGCTAAAAATGGAAGTTAGAAAGTCTTCAGGTTTGTATCCTAGAGGGCTGTGTGATAATTGCTTATGTAAGTCACCTTCTAATTCCAGCAGAGGTAACCTTTGAGTGAGTTAGAAAGTTATATATAAGTTCTTAAATAAATCTGAAACTTCAGTGATACATTTTCCGTTTCTGGTCTCTCACCTTCATCAGTTTTTAAGCATTCCAAAGGGCTTTTTTGTTAGCCAAGAAAGGCATCATATAATTACAATTGACCAAGAAAAAATAGTATTTATGCTGTTTATTAAAAGAACAGAGAGGAAATTTGGTGACCATTTTTTTCCTGTTGAAGACATGGAAATAGAATAGTTTTGCACCACAGTTCTCAAACACATCACTTTAAGGTCAGTGAAGATCTTTTCACTGATTTAAGTGACAGCCCTTGGTGATTATTAATTTAGAAACAGCATCTTTGAAGTGAATTCAACATCTTTTATGCACTTTGAAGGTTCTAAACTGAAATCCCATTCCGAAACAAAAGAAAATCCTCTTAAATTCCTAGAAATAACAAAGTACCTTTTGTTGACATTCAGTGGTTTCCTTACAGTGACAACTGTGCCATTCTATTCCAAGAGAAACAAAAAGCAAACAAATTTTTCAGGATCTAGCTCTCCTGTTTTCAGTCATGCCTGCTTCACTCCTCACTTCGTATGTCTACACACTGGCAAAGAAATCGAGTGGAAGGCCGTTCTGAGTCTTCCTGTTTTGACAACGTTCTGAAGGTAAAAGCTAGGGCCCTAGAATGGGTGATTTAGATCAGAAACAGCTGAAATCAGTGTGCAGACTGAACAACGTTGATGGAAAATAAGAATCTCTTATTTCAGCAACAGGTTTCTTTTTGAAAGTCCCATCTTCTGTGCCTTAAAGGCATTTGGTAAAGGCAGTGCTGCAGGCTGCTAGGAGCTTGACTTTTGCCAGCAGGATCCCAGAGATGCCGTGAGGAAGGGGATCTGCCATTCTGTATTCTGCAGACAGGAAAAAACTCCCCCAAGCTTCAGAGATACCTTGGGCCAGATCTGCAGTGCTGTGGGAACAAATTCAAAAAGTGTCTGTCGTGCTTGTTCACTCTGTTCATTTCTGTGCACTTTTCTGACAAAAGCTGGTAAGGACAAATTGTATCCTTGGCATTTATATGCCATAATGCTGCATGATTTTGACTCCACATGCAGTACGTGCTGCAAAACAGGGTTAGGCAAAACTTACCAGACTTAACTGTGGCCCTTTCTCTTCTTCTGTGAGCTTCTCTCTCTGCTTTAAAGTTATTTACACCTCGTTTACTTTTGACTGGTGGCTTTATAGTGATTTCATTGTTTGGAGTTGCCATGTAGAGGTGTATTTGGCTAACCCAAGGTTGCGTAGCTTAACTAAAAACAACTACAAAACTGGTTGACCTCTGTCTTGCCTCACAGTTTCTGTAATGGCAAAATACTGAAAGTCATATTTGCTTGCTGTATTTCAGATAGGAAAAGAGCATGTAGGCCTAAAGGCCGTAACTGAAATTCTCCAGGACATCCAGTACAAGGTAAGGCATTATCTGAAGAAATGCTTCCTGCACTGACCAGAGAGAGAGTAAGTGAGCAAAGGGTCTATACGACACCAAGAGAAGGGGTTCAGATGTGTCTATAGTAAAACCACATGTGAAAGCCATCATTTGGTTACCTGCATCAGAATCTCAGCATTTTACAGTATTAAGATAATATACAATCTTTCTATTTACTTCCTTTTCTGGTGTCCAGAAAGTCTGATCTGTACCACTAACTGATAGCAAATACTACTGTTTCAGTGACTGCAAGGGAGTCAGTGGGAATGCAAGCACTGCAACATGCTTAGTGAACACCAGCAGCAGTATCTCCAAATTTACCTGTTTTTAATTTGTAGGGGAAAAGAATAGATGAACTGAGCACCCCTATTAACTTGCAGTGGAAAATCAGCAAAAACACAATGCTGTCTTGTCGTGGATTATGTGTGGAGATCCTGAAGGGCAGATAATAATCCTAGCAGGACTGAGGAGATATGAGTGCTCTCCAGGATGTTGGTGCTATCTTAAATGACCTTGGGCAAGTTACTTCCATCTCTCTGCTTCATGGTCTTTGTCTGTAACACAGAAATATTCATACTTACCTTTGATCTTAAAGGATTTTGAGATGTGTTAATGAGATGTTCTCTATTGGTCTGTAGAGTTTAGCCATTTACTTCAGTGGATGCTGAAGTAGAGAAATTAGAAGCCCTTATTAGAAAGGAATTGAAAATCTTCTTTTACTCAAATAATTTATATTAAACTTCAGTCATGATGTTTAATATTACAAACCCATTGTTTATGAAGGTGTCAGAGAAAACAATAGTGTATGAAACTATGTAGTTTCATTACTGAAAGGACAGCCAAATAGAAGAAGGTAATGAAAGGCCTCGTCACTGTGAGTGTGTTATACTAATGACTTTCATAGGGTCAGCATCAAAGATACTTTTGGCATACATTCGATTTTCTTGCATTAAATATGTGAAACCGGCTTTATTTCATTAAGCATTATCCATGTCAGTCAAGGAAAAGCTCACTTTGGCCTTTGTTTTTTAAACTCATTTGGTATGGAACCCCTGAATTTCATGTAGTGAATTTCAAGGCTGGGACCCAGAAGGAGCCCAGGTACTAAAGGCAGAAAGTTAACAAATTACTGAGATAACCTTAAAATTAGAGTATAAAATAGAATAAAAAACCGTGTTTGTGTAGCTGCAAGGACAAATGCAGTCATGATTAAATGAGGGCTGTTAATGAGGTTGCTTTGCACAGGAATTCAATGCTTAATGTTATAAGAACACACAGTGTGTTTTACCTCTCCATTCATCATCATTTTAATAAGAAATTAGAGATGAGATTGATTTGTATTCATTTTTTCAGGGAAAGTCCAAAACAATACCCTGTTTTAATCCCAACTCTTTATTGCCAGGTAGGTGCCTTTGCTTACTTTTGTGTGCATGGATTACTAGCTAAATGCAGAGGCTGAGACAATCTTGATCTAAAGCGTAGCCTAAGTGCAAGCCTGAGAGTGTGTCCCGTAAGGTGGTAATGCATTTTGCACCTCGTGGTGCTAACAGGGTTAGGGGTGAAGTCCCTTTGGAATTTAGGGTAAATCTGCATCTTCATCGTGTGACTGGGATGTGATACTGTAGTCCATGCACTGCTGGCAGCACTGTGGCTAGCTTTCTCGATGATTTATCATCCTACCTAGAGGGGGTGCTGTGTGTCCTCCTTGCTCTGCTTTGGCGTAAAGTAGGAAGCGTAAGGTTACCCCCCTACCAAGGTAGCTTTTTGGCAGCATCAAAAGACAATGCAGTAATGCAATGACAGTAGTGACAGGAGTAGTGACAATGGGAGGCAAATTCAGTTTCATATAGCTAAAAGTTAAAGAGTAACGGTAAGAAACAACCGCTTCCTTTACTTCGTCTTGAAAAAAAATGTGACTTTTTAAAAATGCATTTCTGCAAGGTGAATGTAGGAATCCTTCTGAGCTGAATTCCATGTCATAGTGGCAAGATCTTTTATTTTCCAAAGTAATCCAGGTCTACATTAAACGATATTAATTGTATCAAAAGAATATTGTTTAGGTTGCAAAGTCAAGAGCTCAGCAATTAGGAATTGTAGGAATTAAGGCTGCCCGTGCCCCTTCATGCATATGTGCTACAAAACGTCTTTTAATTGTGTGACCATAAGTTATTTTTTACAGGACTTCTGCCTTGCAGTTCCTGTTTGATGCTGATCAAGTCACATAAACCAAAATTTTCAGAAGTCATCTCTAACTATGTGTTCCTCATTTTTTAGGTGCCCGACTTGAGATCATGGGGTCTGATTTGCAGAAGTGCTGAGTGCTTACACCTTCAACTGAAGTCAATGGGAGCAGTGCTCTGATTGCATTAAGTGCTATAGAAAGTTAACTACTCTGAGGAATCAGGTTCTAAGCATCTCATATTGAACACCAAATGAATAGATGCATTTGACCTTAACTTCTCTGTGCCTCGTTTCCCCAGCTTTAAAGTGTGGGGTTAATCTGTCCTTCCTCACCACCCTGGGCTGTTGGAAGGATAAATTAATTCATGTTTGTGAAGTGCTCAGACAATGAAGAAATGAATGCGTTAGAAATATGAAAAATGAGAAAATATGGTTCTTCTAACAAGCAGAATTTTAATAGGGTGGGAAAAAGAAGATCAAGGATCACATATTGTACTAAGAAATTCAAATGTTATTAGATGCTTTTCAGAAAAAAATCATCCATCTTTGCAAGTAAATGATGAAAGGTTCTCTAGAAGAGACATACATGATCATGTAACAAGATGGTATCACAATGCATGCACAGGATGGGCTGAATTAATTCTTGCAGTTCTTAACTTTTGAGCATTTGATAATGCAACTTGCTTTCGATGGGTTTGCTATGTAATTCCCTAACTGAGAAAGAAAATTACACCATCAAAACAAAATTCATTCACTGACAATCACAAGCTTCATTAGCAAGTTTTAATTCTACTGATATTCCTCTGAGCTAGTAGTGAAATGGCAGTAACAGGTTAAGTCAACCAAGCAAGTGTATTAATTTCCAATCTTCTATTCTGTCCTTGTCAAGCTAGTCACAACTCCCCCCCTTCTCCATGCCATAATTAACCACCCTTTGTCCCCAGTTCCTCTATAGGTTTGTTTCTTGTCACCTCTTTTACAGTCAGACAGTTTCCTCTCTGTACTTAGGGGAGAGGAACATAGGGAGTCATCTGTGATTATGGCCTACAGCAGCACAGGAAAGCCCTGGGTAGTCTCACTTACGAAGTGCGGCGTGTCTGGAATCTCTGGGGAATTAAAATAATTAACATCAAACATATTGTATGTAGAGTTAAAACTCTGCTTGGACAAACCATTGTACATTTTCTTGAGAGACAACTGTTTATCCTAATAGTTATTTCTAAACCTATTAATAAGTTTAAAATCTTATTAAAATAACTTTATTTTACAATAAACCTTGATTTTTTTCCCCTGTGAAATTCAACTCACTTTTCCAAAGCTAGGAGGCACCAGTGCATCTCAAAAAATGTCACTGGGTTTGTGAACTGAAGAGTTTGGCTTGAGCTGTTTTCACTGAATTTTTCTAAAAAATGAAATAAATCATCCTTGAGACATATCCTAAATGTAAAAGTCAGCTACAGTTTGATCACCGCAGCCCCTCTGCCTTCAAAATGGGATGTCTCTTGTAGCTTCTGAAACTAACAGGACTTATTTTCCACCATATTATTTATTTGCTGTATTAATTTAAGGAGTTTTGCACATGTTATTTTTCACATCTATAAAGTAGCATTTTCATCTTTAAACTACTCATCTGCAGGGGGATATTACTGTGATACGATGACCACAAGCTCATGTATATTCATGTGAGGAAGTAGTGGACAGTGCTTGGCAGGTTATAAATTCACACCTTAGCTTACTGCATACTAACTTCATCATATGAGCAAGCCCATGGCTACCATGAACTGTCATAAATCGAAAGACACAATTATCTTCCTTAATGTCATTAAAATTCCACATTTCTTTTCATTTCAGATCCTCTTCTGCGTGACTACTGGGTGTATGAGGGCTCTCTAACCGTTCCACCCTGCAGTGAAGGTGTCACCTGGATATTATTTCGCTATCCTTTGACTGTGTCCCAAGTGCAGGTAACAGCTGTGCTTAGAGTGACCTTGGAATATGGTTATGAGCTAAAGGTTATAGCGTGCAAATATATATATCAGGACATTATATCTGTTCTCCTTGAAGATCCCATTAGATCAGTACATGGCTTTTCAAGTAAAGGTTAAGCCTTTTGAGTCACTGAAAGCAATGCAAAGGTCAGAGATGAAAAGCCTTGTTATCATTTATCATCTGCATTTAAAATAATTCTTTATTTAAGTGAAAGAAAAAGAAAGAAAGAAGTCAATGGGCAAAAGAAATTCAATTCTTTGTAATTGTAAGCTTTCAAATATCACTGCTTTTTGATGTTAAAGGAACAAAAAAGCTCAGGGAGACACTATGTCCTGGAGAATGAAAAATGTTAACATAGTCCAGGCTAGCTATATTGCATTGAACTATATTTAACTTAACTTGTTCTTCTTTAATTCTGTTTTTTTTAATAAATGTCAAATGGAAACTACCTATTTAAATTTGATTTCACACGTATGTATTTTAAAGTGGTTTTTTTTGTTTTTTTTTTTTTTTTTTTATGAATTATATCTAAGTGTCATGTGAGCCATTCTGTAGGAAACATTTCAAATCTGTCTACAAATAATCCTAGTAAAACCAATGAAAACTCCTGATGAATGTTCTCCCACAGTCTGTGAATCCCAGCTGGAGGAATGTGGGTTTAATTTAAGTGAAGCTATCTAGAATCCCTGAAGCTGAATACGTTAATTTTCATTGCCTGCTCTGAAGCATGTGCAGATGGAAGGGGAAAAAGTATAAAAGGTGATAAATTCAGATTTAAATTATTTCAGCTTTAATAATCTAAAATTTTGCTAGTAATCCCAGCACAATTTTTTAACAATTTTAACAATGTGAAATTGGCAGTGTTCCTTTTCCTATGAAAACTGGATTCTAGTTCTAATCATAAGATAAAAGCAATAGCTCCCAATAAGCTTATTTGTATGGCAGCCGCAACTTAAATGTATCCTATTGTGAATCTGGTATTTATTTGCTTATGAAAGGATAAGTCTTATGGCTGCTTACTACTGAGCAAATAGAAACTGAAATCTGTTGGCATTATTGGAGTCACAATAACTTTTAAAGACAGTGCATTTCATAACTTGGCAGTTATTTGCCCAGATATGCTATGGATAAATAAGAGGACTTAATCAGAAATATAAGGACCATAGCTATTACACTGAGACATTGTATGATATTTTATTTCATGCTAGTTTCAGTTTTTGTAGTCTCTATTCCCTTTTAATCCAGTCAATGCACAGAGAAGAGCACTGTTCAAGCCATCCACATGTAGTGAGAGATGGTGAGAGGGTGAATAAAAGAGGAATTAATCAGAGAAATGCAACTTTATTTAATATTATTATGTACTCATTTACCACAAAAAAAGGAGATGTTGGAACGTGGTGTGGAAGGGATAAATCTCCAGAAGAGAATACTGTGCCTGGAGAAATGATCGTGATTCATAACCATGACCACCTGTAAGTGAGGGGTAGCTGGTTTCTGTTACTGCATTACTTCAATCGGTATAAGCACAATCCAGCAAGAACATTGCAGTGATGAAGGGCACACAAGTCATGGAGGGGATTTTTCTCTGCCATTGACACAGTATGCAGATGAGACGTGGCACTGGAGCAGAGTGAGATTGGAGCAGACTTATGCCAATATGATCCACCATACTTGGTACTTGTCGTAGATTAGCATCAATTAGAAAGAAAATCCTCACTGATAGTTATGAATGGAGCAGCATTAAAGTCAAGGTTGTGCAGAAAAGACTTATTAAGAACATGAAGGACTTTTGCCAAGGTGGGATAAAAATTTTACTTGCATCAGATATTGCCTTCAGATGTCAGTTGAAAATAAATATGGGGACAAGTAAGCGAGAGACAGTGATTCTGGGATTCTAAAGTCAGAAGGGACTGAGAGTTCTCTAGGATGCCCAAAATAAGATTTTGGGAGTGCCAGAATATTTTGCTATAGCCTAGACATCCAAGATTTAACTTGTAACTAGAATTCTTTGTGAAAACTTTTTACTGAGACTTTTTCACCTCAGCCTTCACCAGCAAGGACTCCAGCCACATCATCCAAGACATAGAAGGTAAAGGTGGGGACTGGAAGAAGGAAGAACTTCTCATTGTAGGAGAAGATCAGGTTCAAGACCATCTAAGGAACCTGAAAGTGCACAAGTCCATGGGACCCAATGAGATGCATCCATGGGTCCTGAGGGAACTGGCAGAGGAAGTGGCTAAGCCACTACCCATCATATTTGAGAGGTCGTGGCAGTCCAGTGAAGTTCCCACTGACTGGAAAAGGGGAAACATAACCCCCATTTTTAAAAAGGGAAAAAAAAAAAGACCCAGGGAACTACAGACCAGTGGGTCTCACCTCTGTGCCTAGCAAGATCGTGGAGCGGATCCTCCTGGAAACTATGCTGGGGAACATGGAAAATAAGGAGGTGTCTGTTGACAGCCAGAATGACTTCACTGAGGGCAAACTGTGCCTAATGAATTTGGTGGCCTTCTACAACAGGATTACAGCATTGACAGATAAGGGAAGAGCAACTGATGTCATCTACCTGGACTTGTGCAAAGCATTTGACACAGTCCCACACAACATCCTTGTTCTCTAAAATGGAGAGACATGGATTTGGTGGATGGACCACTCGGTGGATAAGGGATTGGCTCTGTGGTCACACTCAGAGAGTTGTGGTCAATTGCTGAGAGTCCAAGTGGAGAGCAGTGATGAGTGGTTTTGTTCAGGGGTCAGCATCAGGACTGGCACTGTTTAACATCTTTGTTGGCAACATGGACAGTGGGGTTGACTGCACTCTCAGCGTTTGCTGATGACACCAAACTGTGTGGTGCAGTCGACACACTGGAGGGAAGGGGTCCAGAGGGACCTTGAAAGGCTTGAGAGGTGGGCCCATGCAAACCTCATGAAGCTGAACCTCATGAATCTGAAGGCCAATTACAACGTCCTGCACATGGGTCAAGGCAATCCCAAGCTCAGATACAGGCTCAGTGATGAGTGGATTGAGAACAGCCCTGCGGAGAAGGACTTGGGGGCATTGTTGGATGGAAAACTGAGTATAAGCCAGCAATATTCATTCACAGCCCAGAAGGCCAACTGTATTCTGGGCTGCATCAAGAGAAGCATGACCAGCAGGTCAAAGGACGTGATTCTTCCCCTCTACTCCGCTCTTGTGAAACCCCACCAGGAGTACTGTGTTTAGCTCTGGGCCCTCAACATAAGAAAGACATGGACCTGCTCAAGTGGGTCCAGAGGAGGGCCATGAAGGTGATGCTCGGAGCACCTCCCGTATGAGGCCAGGTTGAGAGAGCTGGAGTTGTTCAGCCTGGAGAAGTGAAGGCTCTGGGGAGACCTCACAGCAGCCTTCCAGTACTTAAAGGGAGCTACAGGAAAGATGGGGAGGGACTCTTCATCAGGGAGTGTAATGATAGGATGAAGGGTAATGGTTTTAAACTGAAAGAGGGTATATTTAGATGAGATATTAGGAAGAAATTCTTCCCTGTGCGGGGGGTGAGGAGCTGGCCCAGGGTGCCCAGAGCAGCTGTGGCTGCCCCCTCCCTGGAAGGGTTCAAGGCCAGGTTGGACGGGGCTGGGAGCACCCTGGGCTGGGGGAAGGGGGCCCTGCCCGGGGCAGGGGGTTGGGACTAGATGATTTTTAAGGTCCCTTCCCACCCCAAACTGTTCTATGATTCTATGATGTGATTCTATGATTTTGGCTGCAATTAAGTACCTGGTCTCTTTTGTGCATGTGGTCATGAGTGCCTATGAGATATTCCATTTAAGGAGAGATTAGAAATGCAAGAGCTTTTGTCTGTGGAAAATAAGAGGATGTAGTATAGCATACACCATTCTGAATCATCCATGGAAGGCTGGTAAAGGCATTTAATTTTATTAAGCCTGCTTGTAGTATTAAAGCATAGATTTCAGTGCAAATGCATTCCTAATGGATTTAAATATATTATTTTTACATGTGTCATTAACTTGTAGAACTTTCTTCTGTGGGATACTAATGAATACAGCTTATGAAACTTCAAGTGATTTATATAAATAGTAGTAAGATCTGCGGTTATAGCTGGTAAGAGGCAAATTCAAAGCTTTCTATTTTCATTTTTCATGACATAAAATAATCAACTTCTGACTTTCAATAACAAGTAACAATAAAGAATGACACAGTCTGATACGGAATAGGTTTTACTGCCTTCCTCTGATGAAGCTAGTTAATATATTGGAGACAAGATACCCATTCACATTCTCATTTTCTGTAATTAACATAGCAATATTGATTAGCTTAACAAGCTGTGGGTCATAAGGGGAAAAAATGAATAAAATTGTAATTCTAGTTCATAGTCACTTCTGTATATTTTCACATTTGCGTATTTTGAAACAATGAAGAAATAACTATTTTGGCATAGCATGACCATTGAAAAGCAGGGAACCTTTTTCTGTTTCTCCTGAAGACATTTATGGATAGTAAAGTTCAACTGAGGAGTTGATTTACTATTGATCTAAGTTAACGTTAAGCGAAAGGAGATTCATCTCCATATGTACCTCACTGCATTATCTGGGATCTGAGTGTGCTGGTTATGTGAGTAGCAAAAGAGCAAGCCAGGACTGCAGCATTGGGATGTGCTTCCCTGGAGTCCAATGCTGTTTCCTTGCTGGAAGTTGTTTTCTTTGACACGAGGCTTCACGTCCATCAGAGAGCTCTTTCCTTCATGGGTGTTTCTGTGAGGCCTGGATAAAGTGTTCAGGCATCTCTGCTCCCCTGAAGAATAAGGTCTTTGCAATTCTGGGCCTTGGAGTTCTATTACTGTCCTCAGTATAAAGGACCTTGCCTGGAAAGCTTCACACCCTGCAGTGCTCTTTTTGCATATTCCTGCCTTCCTTTTGTGGTTTTTATAATCCTCACTTGTCTGGTGCTGAAATGTAGAGCCCAGAAAGAACAATGTTGACTGCTTTTGTGAGACACCTTGCCCGTTCATGTACACTGCTGAAATGCAATGAGAGAAAATAGAAAACTCCCTCCTGTTGGCCAGTAAAGAGCAGGGAATAATTGAAAAAGACTTGCTAGTGCTTCTCTCCACTATATTTTTTAAAAATTGGACGTTTTTGAATAATGTGCTTTGTGGCTCACTGAAGCTCAGAAGAAGTACATTGTCTAAGCCACTCGGAGTAGGGATTTTGAAAAATGATGCAGCCAGGAGCTGTCGTTCTACTGTACTCATTGTCAGAGTTAACTGGGTTCGTATTGAATGGCGAGGTCTCTAGTTCTTTTGTCTACCTCATTCAAAATCAAGACCTCCTAAAGGACAGAAATAGTAACTAGCATATGGAGCTGGAGTGGGAATTGTGCAAAATTTATGTAGTTGGTGAAATAAAGCACTCTGAGAGGTTCATGGTGTTCTGTTCACTGGGAAGCAGATCTCTGTTCTTGAAAGGTGTCACAGAGGCATGTGGAATTTTCAAGCAGAAGGATAATGCTTCTATGCCTCATATAGAAGAAATGTTTATAGAGTAAACATGCAAATTCTTTGTTATGTGTGTTCTGTTCTTCAGCAAATATTTAAATGAAACAGAAGAAATCAGTGTTCAGGATCTGAATACAGGGAAGTGGTAAAAACATTCCTGCAAAATTGTACAAAATACAAACTAAATGCTTGTACTCAGTAGAAATGTGACTGTTAACATGGTGGATTTACTCCTTCACTGGTTAGAATTTCAGTGTGAACAGGCCTAGGTCATCCTCAGTGTCTTCTGGGCATGAGAAAAACTCTTATAAATGTCTATTCTTGTTGAATGTATGTGAATATCCAAGGATGATTTGCCATGTGCCTCTAAAATACCTACTTCCTCGGCGGTCCTACAGGGTGTACTTCACAGCATTGACTCGTGAGGGGTTGGGAGGAGGTAGTAAGTGGTTCCACATGAGATGAAGCAGGATGAGTGGGGCACGCATACTGCCTTGCCATGTGGAAATTCAACAGGGAAGGCAGCGTCAGCACAGCTAGTGCCCTTTTCTGACAGAACCACTTCTCAGGAGTGAAGCAGAGCACCCTGTGTGCGGCGGGGCTCTGTCACGGGGGTCTGAACCATGATAGGAAGGACTAAGCAAGGAGGCTGGTGATCTCAGAAGGAATTCCCTTCTGAAGCAGGGCTACATTTCTTGACTTCCCTGAAGACTAAAGAGCAGGCACAGGGTCAGTCCTGCTTTCCTGACTGAAGAAACTGGAAGCTGCTTTGTGAGGAGTACCTCCCGGAGAAAGATTTCACAGTGTGGATTGGGGCAGAGCATTTGTAGCTATGGCAGGAGCCAGCTCACAAATGCCAGCTTTGCAGAGTCTGCTCTCCTCTCTCCTTCATCTGTGTTTGCTTGAAGTCTCTTATTCTCAAAAGATCAAACAAAAGCCGTGTTTTTGTAAAATGCTACTTCTTAAACTACAATTATTTCAGACTTTCCAGAGCTGATTCAGACGGTGAAAGAGGCTACCTTTACAAAACCCATTCAGCGATTTACCAGCACTTGACTCCTGAAGGCTTTATCAGTTCCAAGCCTCTAGTGGGTTTGTTTTCAGCTTGCTTTAAATAAACAAAGAAAAAAATCTTCCAGAACAGGGTTCTGCCTCTAAAAGCATCTTCAAGGAGCTTTACAGTTTGTTCTTCTTTTCATCTTCTGAGTCTAAGCTGTTGCCTTATGTCTCACCTCCAAAAAGTTGAGTGTCGATTTCTAAGCACACTGTTTTTTGAGGAAAATAAGGCAGAGCAGAGCTAGTCTCTAAATCAAGTAAATAAGTTTGTATCTGTTGTGCTATAGAGTGGAGAACAACAATGAAGGCAGTTGTCTTCCAGCTTGCAGTAAGAATGTATTTTCTGCAGGCAGTATAAGAATAAAAATGCTATTACCTTCTGTTTGGTACTTAATTTTTTTAATTCTGGAATCACACTTGCATTCTCCCTGTAATCCTTCATAGGGTGGCTTTAATGGAGAAATTAATTCTCTGTAATGTCTTAGATGGTAAAATGATTAAATACTTCAGGCTCCATTTTGCTTTCTATGTAACTTCGCTTTCAAGTTACAGCTGAGCTGAATAGCAAGGCATCACAGGGTCAGTGCAAATACAAAGGCTCAGGCTAGGGACGTCATCCTTCAAGTAGGTTTGGTGTACCCAGCTAAGATAGCTTGTCAATATGCCAAGAAAAAGCAGACACAATTTTTTAGTAGCTGTAACTACTTGTTTAAAATACCAGAGTCTTAAAAACAGCACTGTCGAACAATAAGGTATAATATTGCTGAGATATGCATTGATTTTCTTAGGTTTTTTATCACACAGAGCTTGATGCTGATGCCAGCGATGGAGATGGAAGCTGCTCACATTCTTTCCTACACCAGATTAGATTTAGAAAAATCTAAAAAGAGTCTATAAACTGGAATCATATTTCTTTTGGACCAATTGAAATATTTTATATTGATTTTTAACTGCATTTGATTTTCTAAGTACAGTTAGCACCTACATCTTCAGAACTTTTGAAGTGGTATTTTGTTTGATTGGAAAAACTGTATTTTTCCATATAAAATCTCAACATACTTCCTCTAAAGCTGAGAGTCTGTTTAGAATTCTCCTGGTTTAGAAAATAATTTATATTTAAATGAAGCAACAATTTCATGCAATAAATACATCACTGGAAGAAATTAAAATCAATTTATAGTTGACCAAGTTCTTCCTGAAACGCACTTCTTTGAAGACCAGAATGATTAATCTCATGTCACAACTGTGAGGCTGATTCATAAGGTATAATCTGCAGTGGCTAAGAAAGTTACAGATCCCAAAAGAAGTTATAAAAAAACCCAAAGGATAAGTTTGCCAAACCATGTGCATAGAAGTGCCTATTTTTCTGTATATGTTAAGTGTATTGACAGTGATGACAACTATTTTAAAATGTTATTAATGATGTATATTCACTTTAGTATGTGGTACCTGCATCTCCAAGTTTCAAAGCTCCAGAAATGGCTGGACAAGGCTGATCTTGATCATTAGTCCTGCAGTGAAGAATGTACCTCTGCTTCTTCATGTCTGTTTTTCTGCTTTTCAGATAGAGGAATTTCGTAGACTGAGGACGCATGTTAAAGGTGCTGAACTTTTAGAGGGCTGTGATGGAATCCTAGGAGATAACTTCAGACCAACTCAGCCACTTAGCGATAGAGTCATCAGGGCTGCATTTCAGTAGCAGAAGAGGAAGAACAACAAAAATAAATCTTTATTCAGGTAAGTAAAATCCTACCAGAAAAATCAAAACATTGAAATAATTTTCATAGGTGAAATTTAACTAAAGGATAAAATGCACACAGTTAATTTCATCTGTGTTACAATATATTGTTGCAATTGTAAATTTTGACACTGTACTGTTTTATTTTGTCCTGTGGTATAATAATTTAGTTGCTATTGGTTCTTTATTGGCTGGAATCTAATACGCGATTTAGTGAATTGAAATATTTGTATTGACTTCTGGAGGCAGTGGACCAAGCACAGTTAGATCACAGTTACTTCTTGTAGCTTTAAATTTCTCCTACTGCAGTCAGCATCAGCACAGTATGCCTAGATTATGTGGTAGATTTCTCCAGTTACTGCGGTTCACTGGTTGGTTTCTTTACTGTGTTTTTAGAAGACCAGTCATTGGTGAATCTTTCTAGTGTTATCTGTTAAAAACAGGCTAGTAATTCTGGAAGAAGGCCTCTAATTCTCAAAGGAGGCTTTTTTTTTTTTTTTTTTTTTGACCACTTCTTCCTGCTTTACGATATTGTTCTTTCCCAACAAAGCTGGATCTTGGGCAAAACTAGTACAGATACAAGAGGATACTAAGTAACTTGTGTCATGGCAAATTTTTCATATTTCATTCATCAAAGTAGTTGCTTCTATTTGTCCTCAATGTTTTCAGCCTTCATTGGCTCACAGAGCAAGAATTTAAGGATGATGCTAGATTCAATGTGTAAGAACTAATACACATGTGAATCTGCATTAGCCTCGTCTCAGTTATTAAAACTCCCATGTCATGTTCCCCTAGCCTCTATCAGTTACAAGATTAATTCCCTCAGTGCTCAGCACTTATTCCTAGACCTCATTATAGGTAGCTAATCAATGTTTTAGGATTTTAGAAAAAACCTGGCAATGAGATTCTTAGAGACTTAAAGAAAATTTGCTATCAAGACAACTAGTTACCTTGAAAATCATGAGTCAAGACACCAACATTTACGGTTGATTTTGTAATGAAGTGGCCCCACCTTGATACAAATAATGACAGCTAATATGGGAGGTCTCCAAGAAAATAATGAATCTCTTCACTTGCTTTCTTTAATAAGTCCTACTACTTTTTAATGTAGTAAAATTTTTCATCTACTATCCTACAATAAAATTTATTTAAATAATAAACACATTGGGTACTCCCCATTACCCTATTTTACTGGTAGAATTCATTATATAAAAACATCAGTTCTTCTGTCTGCACATTTAGAATCCTGGAATAGTTTGGGTTGGAAGGGACCTTAAAGATCACTTAGTCCCCACCCCCCTGCCCCGGGCAGGGCCCCCTTCCCCCAGCCCAGGTTGCTCCCAGCCCCGTCCAACCTGGCCTTGAACCCTTCCAGGGAGGGGGCAGCCAGAGCTGCTCTGGGCACCCCGGGCCAGTGTCTCACCGCCCTCACAGTAAAGAACTTCTTCCTTAGATCTCATCTAAATCTACCCTTTATCAGTTTAAAACCATTACCCCTCATCCTATCCCTATACTCCCTGATAAAGAGTCCCTCCCCACTTTTCCTGTTGCCCCCTTTAAGTACTGGCAGGCCGCTCTAAGGTCTCCTTGGAGCCTTCTCTTCTCCAGGCTGAACAACCCCATCCTTCTCAACCTGTCCTCATAAGGGAGGTGCTCCAGCCCAGTGATCATCTTCAAAGCCATATGCTCAGAAGAGAACCAGTTCATCCAGAGTTACACATGGAAGCATGCTGCTGAAAGGTTTTTGATAAAACCTTTTAGGTAAGGGCATTTATTTGTACATTAAATTCTTGTCCTATCTAGGTCAATGATAGAACTCCTTAATTCACATCAGGCTCTGTTGTGGAGTTAAGCCTCTTCAGAGCATGCTCTGGGTCCAGCCCGCAACTTCATATGAAGTTAACAAATGATCAGACAGCAGATAACCTCTAAAAGCGATTGATAATTCAGTGCTTCCAAAAATGGATCCATTAAAAGTGAGTGGGAAGATTATTTTTTCCTCCTGCATATGACAGAAATTATTACATGGGCTGGGACAGTGGCCAACAATTTCATGGTCCTTCCATAGAGTGTAAGCATTCAATATAGCGTATGCATCTAAACATTTCTGAAGTAAAGGTTATTTGTATTTTATAAGCCTATTTAATATCTGCATCACAGAAGTTAAGCAAAGAAAGCAAAACATAGGTGCTGTTATTAATATTGTTTTCTCATTCCCATATTTAATTTTGGGCACATCCCTAAGCCCAATTCTCAATTACATGGTTCTCTGCAGTCACCAAATATCGTCACTTTAATCTTGAAATGCATGTTTTAAATTCATCCCAGCTTCTGCATAAAAATTACTTGGGAAAATCATAGCAATATTAAACTACAATTTTTCTCAGAGAGTGAATAATGCCCTCAGGCCAGCGCAGGTAATTCAAGTCTGTAACAGTGAAATTACTTGACACACTGAGTTTGAATTTTAAGCATGAAAGAGTTTCCTTTACAATGCTGGAATTGAAATGTAAAAATTTCCCTTTTGCTTTCATGTTTGAAATTTTATTACATTTGTCCATACTTTTAAAGATTTGTTTTAAATAATAAGATTTAAATTGGCCATGCTTCACAAAATAATCTGCAGTTTTATTTCCCAAATGATGGAATTTTTAATGTAAAATGTTAGTCCTCACTGTAGAGCTATGCTAATTGTGGAGTCTCAAGGGCTGAGAAAGAGCTGTGACTCTGGGCATTGTGTAGCCCACAGAAGAAATGACACTTGGTTCTCTACACCTGATTGCATTAGTTATCAGAAATTCCTTTGGCCAGGTCTTCTTTTTAGTTTTTGATGCATCAGTCCAAATAGCACTGAACCAATCAAGGGTTCACAATATATCCTTGCTGAGTTTGTCTCTGGGGAGCTGGAAAAATGAAGTATAAGAAGAAATTATGTGGCTTTGATCACCTTTCTTCTATGCGAAGAGGGAGATAGAGGGAAGAAACTGCAAAGAGGGAAGAAAACAATCCTACCTACTTTGTAGTGATTTTCTTACAGTTCTCTCCAGGAAAAAGGTGTTGAGGAACAGCAGCTCCTCACACAGACCTCAGACGGCCTCCGAAAAATCACCTTCCTTCACTCATGGGTAACGGTCCTTGAGCTGGGACCACTGACGTTGGCTAAATATTGCCATGAAGACTCAGTAGCGGATGGGGAGGTAATAGTTTGCAGGGTGGCATCTACATAGCAATCCAAGAGGGAGCATTTCTTCCTTTTGTTTTAAAGCTTTGGTATGTCTTGAATATTACAAACACACCGGTGGACTGTTTTTCTGACATGATGCCCCTCCGTCAAGGCTGCTGGAACTCCTCTCAGTAAAGTTTGTGATATTTTCTTTTATTCCAAGCCAGTGTAGTACAGTCACTTGAAGAACCTTGAGGAACATTAGTTTTCCATGACCTTATCACTCTCAGGGAAAGAAGGAGATGAATGTTTCTGTAAGCGTTGTATACACAGGAGTAGAAAGAGGTTGCTTAAAAGGTCTAACTGGTTTTGACTGAATCAGAACACTGGCTCTATGCATGCTATACTCACAGATCTTCAGAACATCTGCTCTTCAGCCTTGATTTAAACCTTGACAGGACTGAAACCTTTGTGGCTTATGATCAAGTGGCATATGTTGATCTACGATGCAATTTGTGCTAGTTTGTCAAACTGAAGGCAGAGTTGCCACAAACATGGTATATCATGGTAGATAATCTCAGATAAAGATCTGATTTATTTTTTTTTTTAATGTTCCTCTGTCATGAGAAAGCCCAGATCCCAAAATACCCCCTTCCAGTTCTAGAACAAACTTTGGCCAGGCTCTAAAGGGAGCCTTCAGGAGGTCAAAACAGGTAGAACTTTGTAGCTTCACTGTTCTCTTTAACCCAGTGGGTTTTGGAATAAGTTTGTTTATATCTATTTAGCCTCTTTTGACTCTGCTTTTCTGCTAAAAATGCATCTCTCTCCTATAGCCTGAGGTTAATGAGTCTTTGGACTCTTGTGTGGGTGTTTTTGAGATATATCCCTTATATAACAACCTTTACATCCTTTCTCTCCTGCAGGTGCCAAAGTTTTCACATGTTTCGTTCGAAAAAGCCATTTTTTTTCTTATTTCTAACCTCTTTAAATCATATCCAGTAGTGATAGAATCAGTGAGCTGTTAAGGAATTCGGAGGGAAAACTCAGTACAGATTTGCTGTCAGTCATGGAAGGTGAAAAAATTGAGTTCAGTTTTAGATGTTGAAGCACAATAGAATCACGGAATAATTGCATTTGGAGGGTGCCTCTCTGGATCTACTAGTCTGATCCTCTGCTCAAAGCAACTTTAACTACAGCAGGTTGCTCAGGGCCACGTCCAGCTACCTTTGGCATATTATAAAGGTGAAGACTCCACAACCTCTTTAAGCAACCTGTACCTGTGTTTGACCACCCTTGCAGGGAAAAAGATTTTTCTTAATTTTAAATGACTTTTCCTGTATTTTAATTAGTACCCACTGCCCCTTCTTTCATTGGATAGTACTGACTAGTCTGGTGCCATCTTCTATACTTTTTCTCAATAAAGTATTTATACACATTGGTAAGTTCCCCTTTGAAACATCTCTTCTCGAGGACAAACAGTCCCAGCAATCTCAGCCTATCCTTCGGTGACAGGTGCTCCAATCCCTTAATCATCTTTGTGGCCTGTATGTCCGTGTTTCTTTTGAACTGGGGAACCCAGAACTGGACCCAGTACTCCAGATGTTTCACCAGTGCTGAGTAGAAGTGAAGGATCATCTCCCTTCACCTGCCGGCAGTGCTTCTTCTGCTGCAGCCCAGGGGGCTGTTGGCTGCCGTTGTTACGCGGGTGCACTACTGACTCATGCTCCACTTGTTTACCAGGCTTGCCACCTTACCTGCTGGATAATTACTTTTTCAGCAGTGTATTCTTCACTGAAGGCAACATAATTTGTGGTTTCCAATGGATTTATTACCCTC